GAGTGAGACTCCAACTCAAAACAAAAAAAAAAAAAAAGAAGTCTTATCCCTTCTAACTTTCACCACTGTAATGGCCTACCAGCCTCCATGACAGTAAAACTCTTCCAGTCTATCCTCCACCCTCCCATGGGGGTGAGCCTTCTAACAAATCTAATTGTGTTACTTCCTTAAATAAGTTTGTCAAAAGCACTCCACTGCCACTAAGATCAACCCAAACCCCTTATCCATGTTCATCAGATCCTTTATGATCCTATCACTGCCTATATTTCCATGACTCCCCAATGCTCTAATTCCATGGGCTTATAAGCAGTTCCCCTAGGGCATCAAGCTCTTTCATGATTCTGCCCAAAATATTTTCTGTGTCTCAAGGGTCCTTTCTTTCCAACGTCTGCTGGGTACAGTGGCTCACACCTGTAATCCCAGCAATTTGGGAGGTGGAGGCAATAGGAATGCCTGAGCCAAGGAAGTCAAGATCGGCCCTCAGCAACTTGGCAAGACCGTGTCACTACAATAAATCAAACAATTAGCCAGGCATGGTGGCACATGCCTGAGGTTGCAGTTACTCAGCAGGCTAAGGTAGAAGGATTACCTGAGCCTAGCAGGGTGGTGGCTGTGGTGGCCTTGAGCATGCTACTGCACTCCAGCCTGTGCAACAGAGTGAGACTCTGACACACACACACACACACACACACACACAGTCTTCCTTAAATATTAAACATAGAAACAGTAGTGTGTGCATTAGGTCAAAATAGTAGGAACTCCTGTATTATCAGCAGGCAATCAGTGGCAAAAAAAGTAGAAATTGCATACCATATCACATACCACTACCATGCCACAATACACCACACCACCAACCACATACCATACAACACCATCACAACACACACCACCACCACACTGCAACACACACCACACCCTACTCCACATACCATCCATCCCACCTCACACCACACACGTCACAACACCACCATCATCACAGCACACCACACCCTACCTCACTCAATCCATACACCACACCACTATACCACTATCACCACACCACCACCAGCATAACACTCCACACCCCACACCCCATCACATTCCACTCCATCAAATCACACACCACACACCATACCACAGCATCACCATTCCAGCCCACACCACAGCCACAGCAGCAATACCAGTTCCCATTCATGTATTGCTCACTACATGCTGGATACTGTTCAGGCACTTTTATAGTTGTTTTCTGCCCTGCTCCACAAGGTCTCTCTTTTTTCCTACTGTGTTCTACTACCCTCACCCATAACAATCCCCATACTCTTGTCTAACCACAGGGCTTCATTTCTAGAACAATATATCCTTAAAAAACTCTATCATAGC